TACGAATGGCTTGATTTGAAACCCATCTTTATCTTTTGCTCTATTGCACCTGAGACTTGTGAATGTGGCAATTACGGATAATCCGCGGATATGCATATGGCTCTATCATTTTCTTCTCTTTAAACATGCCATTTCACGCGGCTTTTGTGGTAAAACGCGGACAAAGTGGCCCGCATGACCACCGAAATCAACTGCTGCGAAAATAGAAGTAAACAAATGTAGAGAAAGGATATTTCATATTTTTACGGGGAAAACGTACCTCGAATTGGGAATTTTTGCACCGAAAATAGAAAACTCTTGGACGCGGTATGGGCCATCACTGCTACGCAGGAACCCTTATTTCAGTATCACACCATATGTTAACGGAGGCACAATCTCTCAAACACAAAACCCAACACTTAATGAAACAGTTATTTTGTTTCTCTCATCCTTTCTAGTGGAACAATAATTTTGTCTACGGTCTCTGCATCTCTTTAATTGTAAGCTTCTAAGTTACTGTAAATACTTATTATTTGTAGTGATAGTGTAGTGTCCTTCGCTACAACGTCGATTTCGCAGTTCGCTAAAACATCATTCGCTCATGTGATATGGCACTGCTCACAGTCAGGTGTTACACTCCGCTTCTTTTTCTCCACATTTCATTGCTTCCAAACATGTTTGGCGGAACTAAACACAACAAAAACAGGTTCTGCGCCGAAGGCAGTGACTATTTCGACGCCCACCGTCAATATATCTAAAAATTATTTCGACGTCTCTCACATCGTTTCCGTAAAATGTCAAAATATAGTGGCTTTATTAATTCGACGTCCTCCTTCGATGCAGCAATGTTAGCCGTTTTCTGGTTTGGTTCTTTTCTAGTTTCTGATGGTGACGTCGGTGTTGTGTTGGCGTTTCGACGGATTGTTTCGGTCCTAGTCGGCAGTGGAAATCTTTTATTCAACGTCTGTGTAGGACTGGCTCGACAGTTTATCCTTTCGGACGTGACACGCCCGGTTGCGAACTTGCGATGTTCTGAGCGTTCTGAGCTCGCACCTCGGCACGCGTCTCACTTAAAATTTTGATTTACAACAAAGGGGATCTGGATACCCCTCTGTTTTCCCTGCACGTAACAAATGTAAGTGCGTGATGCCTATATATAAATAAATATATATATATATATATATTTTTTAAACTCCAGCTTTAATAGTTTTTCAGTCCGGACTCGAAAGCTCCAAAGTTCCAAGCTTGAGATGTCAAAATAATGACAAAATATCTTGACGCGGGACGTCAAAATATATTTGAAGATCATTTCACGTCTTCAAAAGTGGTGTAGTCGCGAAGGAACTTAAATATAGATAAAGTAAAACGAGATAGCTGTTTAAAAAGGACTACATAAGTTTAATAACCAAAAGCTAACAGGCGTACCAAATTACGTGTTTCCTCTTCGAGCCCAAGACGAAGACTTTCTCTCGGCGAGCTGTCTTTACGTTAGAGCAATATATAGCTCCTACGGAGCAGAGTAGCGCAATCCTTTGAACCTCGTGTTTTGCCGACAAGATGGCCGACAGAGCGGCTCGGCGCGAGTCACGTGGTACTCAGGGTTCCAAGAGGCGGCCCGCCCTATGGGAGAATACATGGAGATCGATACAACACGGCTGATTAAAAAATGAACGGCGAGTTCACACGTTTCAAAACTAGTCTGTCGTGAAGTTAGTAAAGCACTAAACACTTTGTCAAAGTTTTAATAATATCGGATGCGTGTGCAAATTTTGAGAGGGCAATTTTCAAGGCAATGGCGTTTGAAGCAGACGATTTTTGCTCGCAGCGGAGATGGGCTTTTCGGGTTGGCCGGAGCGGGTCACGTGAATGGTGTGACGTCGCCGTGTCGTCTGCTGCATGATGCCGCTCAAGCAATTTTTAAAAAAAAAGTCAGGTCCTTGCGGGGTACAAAACTTAGCGCAAATTATTCTAAAATGTTCCATTATTACGTCACAAACGATTGCCATTCCGTATATTCCCACAACACTGAAGAAACAGCGATTGTCTCACGTTCTCCATGCATTTCTGACCGCAGTTGGAACCTCCGGGCGTTCGCCGCTAGTCGCCGAGAGGCGGCGTTCTAGATTGCGCTACTCCAGAGCCGTTTATACTGAGAGAGTTTGGCCGATGGGCGGAGCTTGTTGGCCGCTAGAACAAGCGGATTTCGCGATAACACAATATGGCGTTACTTCTTTGTCTTGTTCATTCCTGAGAAACCGCGTAGAGTTCCTATGAGTCAGAGCCACAATATGGCGGACGGAAGTAGTCATCCCCCGGTTGTCAGACTACGCTGCTGTGGTTGTCAGACTGTCAAAATCTCCTTAAGAAGGCCAAACTCTCTCAGTATAAACGGCTCTGCGCTACTCTGCTCCGAAGGAGCTATATAGTGCTCTACTTTACGTAGGCGCGAGTGAGCCCATAAGCCGACTGGCTCTTGAGCCGACGGTCCTTCGACGCTCGGCCACCGAGCTCTCCCCCTCCGGAATGAGCTGTGCCGGGTTTCACCCCTACGGCCGCCGTCCGCTTGCGCGGTCTTCGTCGCAGGACCGTCCGCTGTCTGGAGCTTGTCTAGACGAGCCACGGGCGCCACAGTGGCATCACGGACGTCGAAATGATATTTAAAATTATTTTGAAAGTGGACGTCGAAATAGTCACTGCTTAACCTGTCTGTCTATACTAGATCGCAAACTCAACGATGAAGTTAACTCAATCGGTCGCTGATTGGCTGCCCTTTTGGTCATGTGATGTGACGTTGCGATTGAGTTTTTCCCTACGGATTCCGATGGAGTTCGAGCTATGCTGGTAAAATAATAAAGTTCGCGGTGACGTCAAAATGTCGTCACGAATTGAGTTTGGCGATGGAGATAACTTTGTAGTTCAGGTCCGGTCGTTCGCTGCACGTCGCGAGAAAAATTGGCCCGCCCGCCGTCGTCCTCCTCTACAAACTACTTTTCTAAAAAAAAAGAAAAATGTTGCGACGCGCATGTTTTTTTTTTGTGTGTGTGTGAATGGCTTTGACAACTCATTTTTAATTGTTATTTTTTTAAATTTAGAACGTTGTTGCGTTTTGTTTTGTTCTACCATTTTTTGTTCTTTTAACAATACTTTGAGAGTGCCTGCAAAAAATACTCCATTCCTATAGTACGCACTTCATCTTGTTTGCTGCAAGAGTTCGTGGAAATAATGTTCCTGCTTACTAACAAAGAGTATAAGTTTTTTTTTTTTAACTCGTGTTTTTTTTATTATGATTTACGCGTTTGAAAGCTGGAACGACACTAAAAACAATGAAGAAAAATATTAACATGGAGGCTCTTTTATCAGGAGGTAATATGATCACGTTCATAAAAATGACGGAACGTCTGGCGATAATGAGGACATCATTACAAGACTCAAGAGACGCGAGAAAAAATCCGTAGCAATCTTGCAAAAAAAAGGAACTACTTTTTTTTCTTTAAGTACTCACAAGAGAATTTGACTTGACATGAAATTTTGTTTTTACTTCAAATATATTTTTTAACAATGCAAAAAACAAAAACAAACAAACAAACAAAAAAGACCTGTGAGGGACTTAAGTGTTTAATTTCTCCGCACCATACATAACGGCGAGACAGTTTTCTTAAGTAGGTTTTGCCGTCCTTCTTGAACGGACTGGGGGGCATGGATAAGAAATCGAGAAAGAGAGAGAGAGAAAAAAAAGATAACGAGAGTTGTGTGGTTGTATGCCATCTGTCTTTTTTCTCGTTAGGTTTCCCGGGTTTTTATACTCTCTGCCAGCTTTCCGAAAGGCTGTGCCGACCAGATAAGTGGAAGAGCGTTTGAGAGAGGCAGATCAACGTTTTCGAGGGAAAGGGCGCAGGGGAGGATGAAGCAGACGGAACTGGAGAGGAGAGGAAGACACCTCCTCCTCTCTTCAGCATTCCGTCTGCTTCCTCCTCCCCAGCCAGAAAACTTTTCTTAGCCTGTGATTCCCGTTAGAAGCAACTGCAGGAAGCAGGTGTTTTTACCGACGTAATTTCGTCCACCATATTGTTGTCGTGAATCGTTTGGCGTGTGCTGAAGGTGAGCATTCAAAGGATTTTCATGACCCCTCATATGCGTAGAGCGTAGAAGCTTATAAGTCTTACAAGGCTTACATATCCTCAACAGGTCGCGATGTAATCCTTCAAACTAGTAATCTTGTTTGAAAAAAAAGAAAAACGAACAACAAAATGGCGGATTGACGTCATGTGAAAACGCCCTTGGTTTTTCTTTCATGTGCGTGTTAACAAGGTATATTTCACTTTCTAGATAAACCTCTTCAGAGAACATTTTTATTTTAGTCAATATTAAAATGCATCCTAGATGGAGCTATTTTAGTACAGGGTGTTATTTTGTTTGGGTAAAAATAAAAGTATTTTGGGCAAAAATAAACGTGTTCTGAGGTGGTATGCAACCGTAGCGCAAAATACATTCCACCATGCCTGTTTCGTTGGCAAGCAAATTAAATATAACTAAAAGAAGACCGAATCCAAAGAATGATTCGAATTTCACAAACCCAAGATGCAGAAATCTTGAAAAAATGTGCTCAAAACAATTGTCCGTAAAAAAAAAAAAAAACGAAAAAAAACGCGTTAGGACAAGATTTTGGTGAAGGATTCCACAAGATAGAATGTCAGATCCTTAAATAGACATTAAAACTCTACCTTTATAGGACTACAATCACTTATTGTTTGCATGCGGATATTATAAAACGCAAGTGTTTGGTTTAAAACCTTTACATAACCATGGTCGAGTAAGACCGCTCCCGATTTCAGACGACAAATGGACTAAATTCAATCGCAAACTTACTGCGTGCATGCAGTTAATTGATGCCACTCAGTCTGAGTGTTATGGAAATTAGTATGCATTGATGCCCCCTATAGATCAGTTTGACCTGCTACATTATGAGAATACATATAATTTTAGCATATAACTTTATCGTGACTTGCTGAATATGTTTTCAGGAGAAGCTTGCAGCATGGAGGAGGGGTTTGTCGATATTGTCGATGCCCTGGACGAGATGGACTTGATCAGTCCCATTGAGAAAAAAAGCACTCCTGTCAAGGTAAGTCGTAATTAAAAAAAACAAAAAAACTTGTATTGGCGAAGTCAAAGACGCGGCATTATGACAAACGTAGGGAACGCAGTGTCAGCAATGAACAGATTTAACATAGCTTAAGCTAAGCTGGGCTTAACAGCTTAAGCGGCGGGTGCAACGTTTTTAGGCTGGTTCCCATATTTGTGTTTGGGTGTGATCGACTGACTTGCAACCGCTTGCAGCGCGCATACGACGAGACAACACATTGACACACTAGTGCCATCTCTCAGCAGCCCAGGAACCCATCCAACGTGCGTGTAACTATAGACTGAAGGTTTCGCCGTGTTTGCGAGAATAAACGCAGATCCGACGTTTTCAAGGGCTATACGAAAGATGACCTCAGTATAGTTTCTCGTAGGGTCACACAGGACTGTAATGCAGTCAATCGCACTCAAACGTTAATTTTTTTTAAATTTTGTTTGAGAATACTGTCGGCCAACTTTTGAGGGTCAAGGCATGATAAGACAACATCATAGACAATCAACGAGTCGAATAAACACAACAAGAACAATTGACAAGTAGGTTAGTCATTAGTGACAAAAAAGTTCATCAACTGCACTTGCAAATAAAGCGGTAGAAGCAATCGCCGACAGACTTGGGGGCAACTCATTCCACTCACGAACAGAACGATGAAAAAAAAAGGAGCATTTAAAAACATATTTTCTGCAACAAAACTCAGTGAGCAAATTCTCGTGCTTTTGCATTGTCCTCACGACTCCCGTTAGTCTACCAATAATCATCAAAATTTAAACCAGCTTTAGTAATGGTTATATTATGCAAAAATTTCAAACGCTTCACTTTCCTTCGGCATGATAATATAGGCACTCCGGAAGCGGCGTACAACGGTGTCACGTGCGAATCTTTGCCGTATGAGTTATAAATATATGTTAAAAGATTTTTTTTAGAGGCCTTCCAATTGGTCACTGAGCGATTGCGAGTGTGGGTACCATACGATATCGGAATATTCCAGCAAAGGACAAATCAGTGATTTACAAGCCGTCAGCTTTGTCGCAGAAGTGCAGTGACAGATTTTCCTACGTAGCGGCCACAGTTACTTGACGCTTTTGTAGTAATCTGCTCAATATGACTAGCCCAGCTTAAGTTGGACGTGATAGTAACACCCAAATACTTGTACTCATTAACTGCTTTTAAGGCATTTGAATGAATAGTATAAGAAAAAAAGTGAAAGCCGTTTACAACTCCCTGTAACGCCGAATTAGAGCGCAGCTCTTGAGGAGGAGGGAAGGGTACTGGGGGGGTCAAGTGACCTTGGTTGGGGGTCACGTGACCTAGGGGGGTCACGTGACGATGCCGATGACGTCATCAGTAACGATGACGATGCGGATACCGATGACGTCATCAGTGACGTCACTGATGACGTCATCAGTGATGATGACGATGCGAATGCCGCTGACGTCATCAGTGATGATGACGATGCGGATGCCGGTGACGTCATCAGTGACGTCACCGATGACGTCATCAGCGATGATGACGATGCGGATGCCGGTGACATCATCAGTGATGATGACGATGCGGATGCCGGTGACGTCATCAGTGACGTCACTGATGACGTCATCAGTGATGATGACAATGCGGATGCCGGTGACGTCATCAGTGATGATGACGATGCGGATGCCGGTGACGTCATCAGTGACGTCACTGATGACGTCATCAGCGATGATGACGATGACGATGCGGATGCCGGTGACGTCATCAGTGATGATGACGATGCGGATGCCGGTGACGTCATCAGTGACGTCACTGATGACGTCATCAGTGATCATGACGCTGACAATGAGGATGCCGGTGACGTCATCAGTGATGACGATGCGGATGCCGGTGACGTCATCAGTGATGATGACGATGCGGATGCCGGTGACGTCATCAGTGACGTCACTGATGACGTCATCAGTGATCATGACGCTGAAGATGAGGATGCCGGTGACGTCATCAGTGACGTCACTGATGACGTCATCGGGGGTCACGTGACTTGGGAAGCCACGTGACTTTGGGTGTCACGTGACCTTGGGGTGACCTTGGGTAGTCACGTCACCTTGGGTGTCACGTGACCTTGGGATGGCCTTGGGGGTCAAGTGACCTTGGGATGACCTTGGTTACGCCGACGGCGACGCCGACGGCGACGGCGACGCCGCTCAAGCCGGGAACGGGCCCCTAAGATCTGCGCTCTAAAAAGAGAGGCACCTTCTACAGTGTAACTGACATTTGTACACACTTCTTGACATTCAGATCCATTTTCCATTCTTGACACCACAATCAAATCATTTGAATACTCTGTTCTAAACATTTTTCTTTAGATACACAAGATATATAGAAAACAATACACAATCATCAGCAAAAAAACGGCACTGTATCGAGGGCTTACCAACTTGCAGATCATCGATGAAAACCAAAAAGAGCAACGGTCCGAGTACCCAGCCCTGGGACACACCAGAAAGAACAAAATATTAAAACAATCTATCTTTTTTCTTTTTTTTTTTTGTTATGCGGTAGAGTGAAACACGTCTTTCTCTCAAGTTGGACATTTACATATCTCAGTCAAAGAGATGCCTTCTTACATTTACAGTCGATACCTCTCCAATCGTGAACCTCGACGAACAAAATCTGCTGTTGCTTGCGCCTAGGCGTTTCCTACCAGCGGGAAATTTCGTGCACCAATTTAAAAAAAAAAAAAAAAAAAAAAAAAAAAAAACACACCATATTCAAAACGTCTGAAGTATCGCTTCAGACATTTTGAAACTGTATCGCCTGTATAAGGTGAATACACACTTTACAATGTCGGAATAGAGCTCCGGGAGAGTTTGTTGTTCTTACCTTGACGACCAACTGTTCTCGATGTCCCATGCACTCGACCCCTGGGGTTGGGGCCAAAGAAGAGAAAGCTACAAACGGTTCCCTAACGTTTTGGTCAGACACGTGCCTGGTGTTTTGTATCTAAAAAGTGTTCTGCCCGCTATTATTTGTACATACTCTGTTGCGATTTAAGAATCCGAAGAGAAACCCAGCCCACAAAGCTCCGATCTTCGTGGTTGGTTGTTTTCTCCTTTCTAGCGTTCGCTTTGGTAAAGTGGAATGAGTGAAGGCCTCTGTGGGAGGAGATTGTCCTGCTTTTCTTAACCTGTAACATACCATAGTGTGCATGACTCGCATTTCTATGATCGCGCAAAACGGTCGCGTGTGTCCCTCAATTTTTGCGATCGATCCTTAGTGTTTATGCTGGTACACACAATGTGTTCTTTCTGATCGGAGGTTCGTGCCAAGCAATCAAGTAACGTGTACTTTCAGTGTCGATTCTAATCACTTTGGGATACTTCGGCAATTTCATAAAAGTATGCGCGCACGCTACAGCGCCCGCTAAGTTAGTGCGTGTGCTAAGCATGTCTTTTTCTTTTTCTTATCTTCTTTTATATCTCTTACATCCTCCCTCAACCCAGCGTAGCCAGGCAATTCAGCAGGCCGCCTCGATTAGCCTTTTTATTTCCTTCTTATTTGCTCTTTTTTTAAAGACATTTCTGCATGTGTCAGAGCAGAGGGAGCTCGGGAAGGGAAGGGGAAGAAGAGGAGGGTTTAGACTATACAGCAACCACAAGGCCAGTCGAAACTGGGCATACATTGTTAATTTTGTTGTGGTTGTTGCGTGTTGCAGGCTTCAGCTGCAACTGAAGATCCTAAACCGGCGACATCTACAGCAAGGAGCGCAAAACAACCTGCCACTCAAAATGGCAAGTCATTTTTGGCGTTTTTTTTTTGCTATCGCGCACCGAAATATATTATATCGTGTATGCAACACGGCATGGTATCGAGGCTCCCAGTATGTCTGATTTAGAGGTTTCATATAGCTGTGTTACTCCAGGGACTCGTGGAGAAAACAAACCCCAGTAGACGGCAATGACCCACAGATAAGCGGGCAGTCCCCAGTGTCCTGAATCTAGAAGGACAATAAGCTTGTGTGTTAACAGTTATGGGTGAAGCGATCATAATAAAGAAAAGTATAACATGGCCTTGGCTATACATGGCTGTGTAAAGATGTCAATAAGGAACGTCCCCACTAGAAACTCAATGAGCAAGAATGAAATTTCAAAGTGCTCGAGTAGCGGTAAGCATTCCTAAAGGCGCTATGACTGGCATTTTGCTTAGTTTTTGTTTTGTACCTGAAAAAAATTCTCTCTTATTTTACAGTGGCTAAATAAAAACCATCATATTTTCAGATCAAGCAAAAAAGATAGTTCGTCAAAATCCGAGTTCATTTAGAAGCTTGATTTCTGGAGACAGTTCATATATTTTTTAGGGAAGGTATATAAATAAAAATTCGCAGATACTTTTACTGCGTTACATAACGCCTTCTGCGCGCTGCCATCTCTGTCTACTGGGATGTGGGACGCATTCTGAGCATGCGCAATAGCTCCCTTCTACAGAATATCGGACGCAGCATATGCGCCCACAGCTAGGGACGCGACATTTTTAGCCCCGGTGATAAGCCCTGCAAAGGTGTGTAGTCACAGACAGAGACAGCTTAGGAAACACAGGGGCCTACCATGTTTATGCTTCTCGCTTCATTCTTTGGTGTTCTTAACGGCTAATGCCTCAGTCTACATGGCTGCAAAGTCATAATCAGATGCTCCGGATTGGCCGCGCCCTAGTTTTGTCAAATCGTCAGCGATCATAGCTGCAGTCCCGTTAACTTGTCCTACGTCATCACGGCATGGAAAGGCTATATGTTGTTGTGTAGCAATAGTTATGAGTGAAGCGCGGTCATGATATATAAAAGTATAGTTACGACCGTGGCCATATACGGCTGTGTAGAGATGTCAATAAGCAACCATGACCACAAAAACCTCAATAGGCAAAAAAAAAAAAAAATCAAAGTGCTCACTCCAGTAGCGACAAACATTGTTTAGAGACGGTGTTGTGTTGGTCCCCGTTTTTGTGTCCTTCCGTCTCTGACGTTTTTCAGTATGATCGCTCACCAGCTCGCCTGCGTAATCACCCTTATTTTGGTAACTTTTTTGCAGGGTCCCAAGATGCAGGCACGAGTAATCACCCTGGCTTCACTCTCAAGCCGGAGTTAATTGTCAAGTTGCAAATGGAGTTTCCGGAGAAATTTGTCGAAGAAAAACTTTCCGGGTACAAATTCAAGACGAAGGGTGAGACGCTTCGAAGTCTTTCTTTTAGTCTAAGAAATTGAAAAAAAAGTCGCCCGGAAAAATTTATTTCTTATTTATTTAATATTTGCCGTGCACACCATAAAAGTGATGGCGCCTTTATTTAATTATTTAATTATTCAATGGTTACCATACTATTCGAGTGAGCCTTCTTTATAATCAAGCCATCCATGTGAAATATATATATATATATTTAATGCACGAGATTCTTATAACCACAGTGGCAAGCAGGGTAAATTATTTTATGAAGGTATTTAGGTATATGGCCGGTGCTGCCTCCATGATCACTGGGACAAGCGTGATAGCGCCTTGCTTATGGCTCGCCAATTACTTTATTTCACTCTTTATATTTTTGTTTTGTTTCGTATGCATAGCATACATCAAAGGAGGAGATGGAAATTTCGGATCACATCGGGATATCAACTCTTTGCGTTCCATATGGTGTGCAGTAACAGCCACACTTAACTGGATTTGATATTTAATGCACAAAACATCTGAGGCACATCGTGTCACTCGGGCATATTAATGTGAAACAAAAATATTGCACGTATGTAAAGAGGCATAACAAGACAAATAACTTTACGCTGGCATAAAACATGGAACACATAAAGAAGTTCGAAATATGCAAAATGTAGGCTTACCATTTGCTGCAGTTGGGTATGAATAGAAATGCACTTCAACTAGCCGATTGCCTGGATAGTTAATCTCACGGACTTATACACACAACCACATATCACAATGCCCAAAAAAGACAAGGAGGCAACAAAAAGCGGAGAAAGAAGGTTGCAGAACTGAATAACAAGGCGGAGTAGTTGGGATTGAGACTTTCAAGGCAAAACTGGTACTTTCTGTGTGACCCGTTATGAGGCAGTCCATCGCAGCTGTCGTGTCCAACTTGTTCCCAGCATTCCTACGATGCCGAAAATTCCGCTCTACGTCGTGGTTATCGTGCTGGACGTGTCGGGGATTCACGAACGATGATTTGTGCTCGCCTTGCGTCCTATGCGGAGCCCAAGCTCGGCTGCTTTATTTATTTAAACGACGAGAAAGAAATCAACGTCGTAGTTTGTGACGCTCAAGGCGCACATGTCACTGTCGGTGGGGAAGAGGGATCGGGAGGAGAAGGGTATGGGGATGTAGAAGGTACGAACTCAAATAAAAAGGCAGGAACACTCAAGTTCTCAGGTTGACTTTGGCTTGGACAGTCGGTGTGCGGGAGGGAATGACCCTAGGATACTGGCAACACTGTGTCCATCTTGAGTGGAGGCTTTTTTGACGCATAGGCACATGAGTGTGCCAGGCCGCAGTCTCGCTGGTCACTGGTCAGACTCTTAGAGGACATCTAGGAGCTCCGTGTCTCTTAGGTAGGTTGATAACTTCGTCTGGTTCTTGAGCAGGGGTTGCGGTGATGTCAGAACGCCGAGCTTTGATTGGCTCTGATTGGAAGGATAGTGGGTGGACCTCAGGGCAGCTAGGATTAAGGTCTAACCGCTGTCCCTCCATTACAGCCAATCAGAATTTGGCGTTCTGGCGTTAATGCAACCCCTGCGCAAGAAACAGACGAACCTAAGTTCCACATAGTAGCTGACTGTTTAAGAAATCCATGACGCGGCGAATGTCGGCCATCTTATAGACGCCTTTGTTTTTTTGTGAAGACGCATTATAAATATAATAAAGTTCAGCTTGATAGCTTGACCATGGGACTTGACCGAGGAGCATACAAGAGCGAGTGGTTGTGTCGAAGAAGATTAACAAATCTTTTTTGCAGGTACGCTTTTGCGGGCGCTGCTCCATAGAACGTACAAGCAAAAGGAGCGGCCGCGCAACAAGACGTTCTGCGATCCTCTGGACTACATCGGAGACTACGTTCTCAAGTTCATCATCTCGCAGTACCTGCTCGAGCACTGCGTTAGCAAGAACAAGGAGAATTTGGCACACCGTCGGTCGATGGTGGAGTGCCAGGAGGTGTACGCGTTCCTGGCCGTTCGAAACGGTTTTCACGATCACGTGTTTATGGATGACCGGCGGGAATGGGAGCATTTGACTGACTACGTTAAGGCGATCAGCGGCGTCCAGGTGGGCTTAAAAGAACATTTGTGCGAATATTAAAATTTGAGACTGAAATACATGAATCAAAACACGATTTAAATTAGTTTTTTTAATATTCAGTTTTTGTAGCAAAATGTATGAAGCCGAACAATTTAAGTTTTTAATTTTATTCGAATTTTCGAATATATGCATCCAAATTATGAAATTTTTAGTATTAAAACTTTCGAATATTCAAAGTTCCAACCGTTTAAATATGTTGTTACTATTTTGTCTCCCAGGGATAGATGTATATAAGAGACAACTCCGTTGATGATGCATCACTGGTGTTGTACAGACCTAAATCTCACTTTTAACAGCATTGCATTGAATGGCTCAGGTCAAAGGGTCAACTGCTGCTTGATTGCAAGTTTGTTACACCATTGCACTTCTTCGCGCTAGTGTTTAAAACGCCTGCTGGAATTCAAATTACTAGAATCGTGTGAAGCGCTTAGCCACAGCGCGTCAAGATATGCTGGAGAATCAGTGCTTTTTACATTACACTTTTGATGCTCTAATGATTTATAAAATGTATTGGATGTTGCCCTTAACATCCAACAGCCCCTCACCATTTTTGTGAAAGAGAATGTGAAGCGAATGTTCCCTTCAAGATCGAGCATGAAGTTTAGATTCTGATTTTTTAGCTGCTACAAAATCAGTGTTTTGAACAATGATCATTAAATTGTATTTTCATTCATAGATGCATTAATAGTTACATGGTTCAGAATTATTATCAGCACCGGACATAGTATCAGTTACGCAAGTAAGTTATTTCGAGAGGTTTCGGTTATGAAAAAAGCGGGAAAGTTTTGTGTAAAAATGATATAGTTCATTAATAGTTGTTAATGGGAGCGCTCTCTGTACATGGTTCAGCATTTGGCGCACATCAAATCATTTTAGTTTAAAGCAAAGGTCTCCATACATTTTTGTATAAGGGACGGGATTATGGATCTGATTAGGACGGGATTGGAAAAAGAAAATATAGTAAATATTAAAGGAAAAAAACAACAACTAAATAAACAAACCTAAATGAGCTTTTAAACGCTAAAGTTATTGTTAGAGAAAGTATTAAAAACAGCATTCTAAGGTAGATGAATGCCTATGCTTCAATACTTAAATTTGAAATTTAATATTTAGCTAATTATGGCTTCCCACCCAAAATGTTGACCAAGAAAATTCACCAGGCATAAATCAAAGCGCATGGAAAATTTGGCAGATTGGCCCATTGCAAAAGACTAATGAGAATGGTAAAACTAATACCGACGATTTGAAATAGCTGTGACAAAGGACACCAAGCGGAATGTATACACGAGAACGCAAAACAGTTTTAACATAGTTTCAGAGACATGAAGCACGGGACTAAGCATGGTGACGCTGCTGACAATGTTCAATATAGATTATGTCGAGAGGACACACCTTGCAATGCAGTTTTTTTTTTCCACTTTTTGGAATGTTCGTTTGCGTATTTGGAGCACGTTGCAGCACCGTCTTTTTACGTTGCGCTTCATTTTGCGCCGGTAGCTGTGGGTTTGCTGGAGGTGGTTCATGGGCCGGACTTCATTGAAAAAACCGCGGCCAGTTGCGTGTCGCGGAAGAGTTCTGCGGGCTAGATCTGGGCCGGTGTTCGGGGACCCCTGGTTTAAAGTTGAATGTTTCAGGCCACTGATTGATGGCCTTTCTTCTCATAGCATATTGTTTCAACAGAATTTCCAAGGCAGTTGGAGGTTGCTGACGTTTGCGTAATGTCTTTCTTGCAAATTTTCTTTCAGACTTTGGAGCAATTGTCAAAGGTGGAGAAGCGAAAGTGCTTCGTCCACAACTTCTTCCAGTCTGTAGCCGGTGCCATCTACGTGGACAGCGGCTATGACCTCAAGGCGGTGGAGGGGGTCTACCTTCCCATGCTCAAGGCATTCCTTGATGAAGTTATCGACATGGACATTGAAAACTAAAACTCGCTCAACCTGTGTTTTTTATTCTCGCAGTCTACAAGAAGCACAGATCTCGCAAGTATTAATGCAGGGCGTGTAGTCCTGCATTAATACTTGCGAGATCTGTGCTTCTTGTAGACTGATATATCATTGCTTTATCTGCTTCTTATTGGAGTTCGAAGGATCTCAAAATCTCTACTTTTCATATTTTTATATCCTTACTTTCGTTTGTTTTTATGCTTCTACTTTTAAATGCTTTCCGTTCGTTCAACTTAGACACGTGTTCAATCACAGTCACACAGTTACGTCGACTGCGTTGCGTCGTGCAGCACAGTGCCTCCTCATTGGCTCTTCGTAAGGGTTGCCATAGCAACAGCTCGACGCGAGCAGTCTTAACAAGACGCAAGTGGTTGCAGTCGCACTCCAACGCAACGGTGTGAACGAGACTTTATGCTTCAGCTGCTTTGTTTTACGAACGCTTACAGGACACCCTTTTTGTGTTTTCTGACTTGCGGTACCTGACGTTTTAGTGAGAAGGCTTGAAGGCATTCAGCATTTACCTAAATATTAGTGGTTCTATTATGGTCAGTAAACGTGCAGCGTTTACACGTTAAACAAATAAATGCAAAAATAAATCAGTAGAAATACCACGATAGTTGCCATGTCCTTAATAAAAATGTTCGTACCTGATTCGGCTATTTATTTTCTTTTTGAAATAAATATGGCACTTGAGGGGTGTCAATGTAGCCACGTCATCGACAGTTGACTTCTCTTAGCGTTAATAAAGCACTGGTTAATTGTCATGACCATATACGGACAGCAAGTCCACTAAAAGGCGTCTCTCCGCGCATGGGACAGGGAATCGTGTGTGCGACAAACGCGAAGAAGCTCCGACCCACAGCTGTTGTCTGCTCTTAGGCGGTGGTTGCGGTGGTGACGGCAAGGAGCAGATGGCATATTGAAAGGGCCCTTCGTTTTTATTTAATTATAATGCAATTAAATGCAAAGGTGCAAGCGAGCTGGACAAGAATGACGAAAATAATCCCTGGAGAAGGGGAACAAGGGGGACAAAGGACAAACATAGATCTCCAAACACAGCTAGGTGACTGGTGCGCGACCGAAAAAATCCGCCTGGTCCGGGTATTGAACCCGGGACCTCTCCATTACAAGTGGAGCGCTCCACCAACTGAGCTAACCAGGGGTTAGACGTTAGTAGAGCAAACGGGTTTTATCAGCTGCCACCAGTCGTACACCAACAAGGGTGAAGCTTGCAATTTAGTGTTTTGATTATAATGCAATTAAATGCAAAGGTGCAAGCGAGCTGGACAAGAATGACGAAAGTAATCCCTGGAGAAGGGGAACAAGGGGGACAAAGGACAAACATAGATCTCCAAACACAGCTAGGTGACTGGTGCGCGACCGAAAAAATCCGCCTGGTCCGGGTATTGAACCCGGGACCTCTCCATTACAAGTGGAGCGCCCCACCAACTGAGCTAACCAGGGGTTAGACGTTAGTAGAGCAAACGGGTTTTATCAGCTGCCACCAGTCGTACACCAACAAGGGTGAAGCTTGCAATTTAGTGTTTTGATTATAATGCAATTAAATGCAAAGGTGCAAGCGAGCTGGACAAGAATGACGAAAGTAATCCCTGGAGAAGGGGGACAAAGGACATAGATCTCCAAACACAGCTAGGTGACTGGTGCGCGACCGAAAAAATCCGCCTGGTCCGGGTATTGAACCCGGGACCTCTCCATTACAAGTGGAGCGCTCCACCAACTGAGCTAACCAGGGGTTAGACGTTAGTAGAGCAAACGGGTTTTATCAGCTGCCACCAGTCGTACACCAACAAGGGTAAAGCTTGCAATTTAATGTTTTGATTATAATGCAATTAAATGCAAAGGTGCAAGCGAGCTGGACAAGAATGACGAAAATAATCCCTGGAGAAGGGGAACAAGGGGGACAAAGGACAAACATAAATCTCCAAACACAGCTAGGTGACTGGTGCGCGACCGAAAAAATCCGCCTGGACCGGGTATTGAACCCGGGACCTCTCCATTACAAGTGGAGCGCCCCACCAACTGAGCTAACCAGGGGTTAGACGTTAGTAGAGCAAACGGGTTTTATCAGCTGCCACCAGTCGTACACCAACAAGGGTGAAGCTTGCAATTTAGTGTTTTGATTATAATGCAATTAAATGCAAAGGTGCAAGCGAGCTGGACAAGAATGACGAAAATAAACCCTGGAGAAGGGGAACAAGGGGGACAAGGGACAAACAAATCTCCAAACACAGCTAGGTGACTGGTGCGCGACCGAAAAAATATATTTTTCGAAAAAAAGGGCGGGGGGGGGGGGGGGGGGGGTAGGAACTGGGCATTATTTTTCAAGCTCGTAAGTGTGGACACATCGGGGATTTTTCCAGATACTATTACGGAAATATAAAAATCAATAACTATAATTGAAAATAAAAAGTTTTGATTGGTTTTAGGACATGGAATGTGCTATTACACAAACAAGTCGTTATTTCGCAGGTATATAATTGAATTAAAACGTGCTTTAGGAGCTCACTTGGTCATTTTAGTTTTCAATGTTGACGTACATAATCATCTGAATGCCCAGCACCTCCTTCAAAACTCGCATTTTTTCCCGTTCTGACCATCCGAACAAAGTAAATTCTGTTTTCGCCCCTACTAACTTATACTCCCCGCTCAACCCTGTAAATCAAGGAAAACTGAAGCGGTTCTGTATTTGAGAAAAAACACTTAAATTGTCTTTGTTTGACCTTTAGGAACACGAATATCGAGTTTCTTCAATTTAGTGCACGGACATGCCCAGAAATTTGGGACAGGCGCTTCTAGTTCACTTATCTGGCCCCACGTAGCGTACTAATCTGTTTTATGCCGGGCAAATTCCCATAAAAAGTGGGATGTGCGCCAAATGGGGAAAAAACAACAACAATAACTTTAAAGATAAAAAAGGGTTAGATAATGAGTGGCGGTTGCAACATACCGATAACTTTATCATTCTCCTTCAAAATTTCACGACGATACTGCGATGAAAGGAAGAACATCGGAACTTCTAAACAATTTCGCAGAAATCATCGCACGAATTCGCCATCGTTCTAATAGTTGACTTGGAGTGTGATATACTTAAGTACCCTCAGATATAACTGTGTTGTCAATGAGTATAAGCTTAAAACATATGCTATTGTTAGTGGTCGATTCCGCACAAGATGTATGTAAGGATGGATTCTCAGCTTTGTATTCCAGGCGCATAATGTTTTACGCGTTTATTTATATCCACTTTCAGCCTGGTGCAATGTTGTCACCAATAAAAAAAAGCAGATGAATTTAGAACAAAAAATGAACGTTTGATGAGGTGCGCTTGCACCCACAAACTTTAAGAGAAATGTGCCATGCATCTTGCGTCGGCGGCAGAGGGTCACTGACCCGAGGCAGCGCGTTAGCGCTACTTTCATACCCGCAGCGCGTTCAGGAATGTTCTGAACAAGAACACTCGATGACAGCCGTTAATGGGCAGGCATTTCTTAGAACACGATGAAAAAATAACCCATAAAACGACGAGGGGACAGGAACCGAACACAAAAGACAGACGAGCGCTATTTTTTCATCATGTTCAGCTAGCACATATACTCCCCCAGCTTATCACCCTGATACAGTTCGTTTTTTAGAAGAGTACATAATTAATAAAATAAGGATCCACAATGAGCGGGATTCGAGCCTCATTCTTCTGCGCGACGGCCGCATACGTTGCCAACTCCGCCACGCACGCGGTATTTTTTTCGGATTTGGACGATGACACAAGGCAGTGGCACACAATCGCGATGAAACACTAAAAGGCACCAGCCATCTTGGCTAATGTCGAGCATGCTACAATTCTTTAAGGGCAGACAAACCTCAAAAAGTGGCAGCCACTCAGGTGTAGCCCTATTGAAAAAACCAGCTTAAGCTGGTCCCAGCTTCAAGCTGGGTTATTGCCCCAGCATGCCCAGCTTGGCATGCTGGTCATGCTGGTTGATCTGGTCATACTGGTCATGATGGTTGATCTGGTCCCAGCTTCAAGCTGGGTTATTGCCCCAGCATGCCCAGTTTGGCATGCTGGTCATGCTGTTAAACTGGTCATGCTGGTGAACTTCCCAACCAGTTTAACCTGTTTAAATTAATACACAGAATAAAAAAGCCAAGCTCGTCAGAAAAGCCAACTCGGCATCCAATTTATTATTTTCGTACTTGCGGCAGCCTCACATGAACTCAAATGCTACACATCCTCGGCGCTGACACAGTACTAACCGACGCACAGATTCTCGGTGCAAATTGTCTACAATGTTAATAAAACCAGATTGCTTATCTCTCAACACGAAAAAAATACTAGACACAGGCCAAAAACAGGCAATAGCAGACGAAAATACTACACGGACGAGAGAAGCGAACCTGGGTCCCGCCAGCGATGGGGGCGAAGCGGCAACTTGCGTGGTCGGCAGAGGCGAGGAAATCCGTGTGGCTTGGATGGCATTGGCGATACTCCTCGGCACCGCCGTCATTCTTGGGCACACACACGTTCGAAGACACGAAGCGACGCCGCAGTCGGGACGTCTGACATCTTCCCGCACTGAACGGACTGCCGCTCGCTGTCTTCTCAAAACCCGCTTCGCTTGCACCGTCGTTCAACTAGTCTCCAAACAACGCGCACACAGCCGTCCCTTCGATCTGCCCTCTGCCCAAGCTATCCAAACGCGTCTTCGATTCTCCGTTTCTACCACTCTCTCTCTCTCTCTCTCTTTTCTCGCACACAAAGGTAGCTTGCAGCGCGCCTGACGCGCCCGGTGGTCTACCAAAAACGAGAGGACAAAGAACAGGACGTGGCCTCGTTCCAGCAGCCGACCTTGTCGCGCGCGCTCCCAGCAATGCCAGTTCGGCTATCTCTAGCCGACCTTGGCGTGCGCGCTCCCAGCATGACCAGCTTGACCACCACGATTATTATTTCGACCAGATTCACCAGCTTGTCTCCCAGCATGACCAGCTCGTCTCCCAGCTTGACCACATTGGCTCCATGGAAAACCAGTTTGACCAGTTAAGACCAGACTGGCTCCCAGCTACACCAGATTGAATCTAAAACCAGATTCGAGTGAGACCATGCTGGTTTTTACTTAGACCAGACTGACCAGCTTAAATTCCAGCTTGCCCAGCTTAAACCAGCTTGATTGCCAGCTAAACCAGTTTAATTACCACATTGACCAGTTTGACCACCTTGATTACCAGCTTGACCACCTTAATTACCAGCTTGACCAGTTTGATTTTCATGCTGGTTTTTCCAATAGGGAGGTTGCTAATCCTTATAGAATTCATTCAGAGAGCAGATGTGCTCAACAAAATACTTATGTACGGGACGAACATCGATATCTGCGCGGCACACAGCCATGCGGCACGCCATATGCTGTGCAGGCCCAGCAGTGGGATCATGCCGAAGGGGACGTCATTTTAACCGTCTAGCGCTCAAAAACATATGCCATGGGGCGCTAATAGGAAGTCTTTTCTGGGGGTCCCTTGTAGGACGTCCCAAAAGAAGGCAGCGTCCCAACAGTCTAGAAAAAACATGATCAACCGTTTTCTGCTCTCTGCACAGTATGCAGTTGTCAGACCAAGCTACTGGGATACCTTTTCAACTAACCAGG